GTTAAAGCGATCCAGACCAAATATGCACATATACAGGTAACTTTCCCTCTCTAAAAAAACACTTTCTAGAAAAGAATTTGAATCTGTTTGCTTTTAATAGCAGACCTACAAAAAGCTGCGCATTAATCACATTCTATCGTACGGATATTTTTGGCAGCTTTCAGGTTTATTAACGGGCCACAGTTGGTGGTGTCTGGGTCACAGCAAGCTGGTAAACAGCATGCAGCCGAGAAAATGTGAGGGCTCTGAGCTCAACGACTTATGCAGACGGTTTGATTAAAGAGCAATTGCAGCTCCCATAGAGAAAATAAAGGTGGCATTATCAAGAAAAGAAAAACTATGTTTAGTAAGACAGACCTAAGCTGGTGGAAGCAGGATTTCTCATCTAAGAGTCTGATTTTCAATCATTACAAATAATGAACTCTACATTAGTTGTGCAAAAAAAAAGAAGTAAAAAATGCATGCTCATGTGGTTTTATATACAAAGTGTGCATGTGCAGAGGATAACAGGTGTAAAACTGGTTCAGGACGCCATATTTAAAGGAGGAGGTTCTGGCTGTTGTAGAGAAGGATGGCCCTGCATATACAACATTTTGGTCACCAGGATGGTTTCCATTAGCCTCGTGAGACCATCCTGATCTTGCGAGCTTTCAAGGTTTCACTCGCAGATCAGTCTGGAGACTCTCCGTTAAAGAACATTTGGAGCCGTTCACCAAACGAACGTCCAATCAGCATTGGCTTTGAGGCGGGTTGAGGTGTGACGCAACGAGAAGCGCGACAGTTCAGTCTAAAGAACATGGCGGCTTCAGCCAATGAAACTAGCGTTAGCGTGGCTATCGAGCAAGTTTTATCGGAATTACAGAGTATTTCTTCACTGAAAGAAGAGCAAAACACTGCTCTGGAGGCTTTTCTCAGAGGAAAATATGTTTTTACTCTTCTCCCGACTGGTTTCGGCAAGAGTAGCCTGGCTGTTAGTACGTCATATGCTTTGTTGATCTGATTGGTTTATTTGGCCCGTCTATCACCAACATAGGCCAATCAGCTAACCAGTATTTTCACCCCTTCCCAAAATTACTTCAACAGAAGGTTTCCAGATGGATATGTGGAGCAAATCCATTGGGTAGAGTCAGGTTAGGTTTCCATTCTCATTAAGGCAGATGTGCTTTAAAAGTCCCCCCCCCCCCCCCCCCCGTTTTAAAAACAGAATTTATCGGGACCTGGTTGCTAGATCAGCCTTGTGCTCACAATCATCTTTGCTCATACAGTATTGCGATCAGCGCCCTAGTGTTTAGACATTTCTGGTCGGTAAAGGGTCTGTCTTCATAAGAATGTCATAAACTATGTGATATCACTCTCACTATCCAGTTTCCATAAACATCTATTAACAAGAACATTAAAGCCAACAGATAAATTAGCACTTCTTTGGGCTCGTTCAGTCGAGTCCCACAAGGAGGAACTAGACCACCAGGTGCTCGCAGACGAAGCCTAACCCCAGGCCTGGGTCCAGGTTGGAGTCCGGGCTCCTCCATTACAGGCGATATCATCACAGGCCTTATTTGAATTCTAGTCTACAGGGCTTTTAGGCTCTTTTTCAGACCCGTCACCCTGAGCTTGTTTACCCTGGGAGACCCTACCAGGAACATTTAAGCCCCCAACAACAGCGTCTTGGATCAACCAAGCTCTGAATAAGCAGTATGAGACTTTTGTTCAGTTATAAGTAGTAGTAGTCTCTTATTCCTTTAAATACCAAAGTCATCCCCAAACATCCCAGATATAAAATAAAAAGATACTATCCACACAACTGTGTTCAATCAGTTCTAGTCAAGATCTAAAGGCTGTAAAGGCCATTGGTATCAGGAATGGAAGGAATTCATTTTTACTTTATTTATGGGGGGCTCCATCCTTCAGTTCATAGCTACTTACAAGCTAAAACAACAGACAACTGCTGTCTCCTTTTTGTGCATGCATACATGCTTACATTAACACACACACACCCTCACATGAAAGGATACATACATGCATGAATGCAGAATGTCTCACGGCTACAGCTGAAATTCATGCCTTACCTTAAGAAGAGGCAGCCCTCCGTATTAGCGTAGTTATCTATGCCAGGAAGTATACGTCTCCCCCCCTTTTTGCCGAGCAAATGTGCCATGATATTATAAGGCAGCCAGACGCACCAAACTGGCCAAGGAGATGGCTTGCTTCCAAAGAAGAAAATTACTTGGTAACACTGCCAACTCAGAGGAATTTAATGATGGCTAACAGTTTAACACAGTTCTTAATTAAATCTCTCTAATTAGCCTGTAATTAGCTGTCAAAGAAAGAAGAGAAGCAATCCCACTTTTATCCTTAATTTCCGTGATAAAATTAGAATTTCATAATTTGGGTCCATATCAGAAATTTTTAAAGCACAGAAAAAAAAATCTCCATACCAACAGAGAGAAAAAAAACAAAACAATTTAGAGCTCAGGAAAAGAGATGATTGAAACAAAAGGAAAGATTTCACTATAGATGAGACTAAGCAGAGGAAGAGCTATTGAGGGGGGCCGTGGTGTGTGTGGGTGTGTATCCCATGTGGATGTCATTCCCCCAAAAAATTGGTTAAAAAGACACTGAAAAAACGGCAAGATTTACATCCAAACAACGTCTACATTTGTTGAAAAGTAAAAGGTAAATAGCCGTAATTTCAGATTGTTGAGAAGACGTTAAAAACTGGGTTTGTAACGTCTTTTCAGCATCTATTACTGGACTAATGTGGGAGAAAACAGACCGACTGAACACAACCAAGTTCTCAACAACTGTTTCTAGACTAAATCAAGAATATGATAAATTGACCAGATTTAGCCTAAAAACTCTTAGCCTAGTAAACTAGTCCCACCCGCCAGCGGCCAAAATCATTTTTGCTGCGAGTTGATCTAGCCTCGATCGATGGCCCAGGCCCTAAATCTGGCGAGCCAATCACAATGCAGATGATTTTTGAATTTCTGGATGCAAAGCGGGCAGGGTTTTGAGGGAGGGATGACAAAGCTGCACAACTCTGGAGAAATACTAGGAACTATTGAACAGTTCTGGTTTGACTCAGCTTTGGAATCAGTTCTGGAAGGATTAGACTTGTGTTTTTTGGTTGAAACGTAAGCAGGAAGAGGCTCTACACTCTTTCATTTTTGAGAAGGACGTATTCGCCGTTTGTTTACACTCCCCCACCAACTTTCTGTCGCGCTTACTACATCAGTCAGTTGCTCTCATTGGTCAGAGCGTTGGCCAATAGGCACAGACATGGTTTGAAAGACAACGTGTTGTTCTCATTAACCTGACTCCGCCAGATGGATTTGCTCCGCATATCCATCTGGAAACCTTCCGTTGAAGTAATTTTGGGAAGGGGCGAAAATACTGGTTAGCTGATTGGCCTATGTTGGTGATAGACGGGCCAAATAAACCAATCAGATCAACGAAGCATATGATGTACTAACAGAGCGACGACGAAAACACAACCACAAGCCAGGCTACTCTTGCCGAAACCAGTTGGGAGAAGAGCAAAAACATCTTTTCCTCTGAGAAAAGCCTCCAGAGCAGTGTTTTGCTCTTCTTTCAGTGAAGAAATACTCTGTAATTCCGATAAAACTTGCTCGATAGCCACGCTAACGCTAGTTTCATCAGCTGAAGCCGCCATGTTCTTTAGACTGAACTGTCGCGCTTCTCGTTGCGTCACACCTCAACCCGCCTCAAAGCCAATGCTGATTGGACGTTCGTTTGGTGAACGGTTCCAAATTTTCTTTAACGGAGAGTCTCCAGACTGATCTGCGAGTGAAACCTTGAAAGCTCACGAGATCAGGATGGTCTCACGAGGCTATGTTCTCATCAACAATCTTCAGATGTCTCATTCATCGGGGCCAGACTAAATTACACATTTAATCTCACATTTAGTCTGGTCTAAATGTCTATGATATCTGGTGATTGAGTGGTGAAATAAGCAGTTCACTTCTACAACAGAAGGTGGCAGCAGTGATATATCACGGGAATGTCCTACTCTATTTTAGACTTAGTATATTGACCAAAAACCTATTAAAAAATGCAGTTATCGAGTCATAGAAATATGCTAAAAATAAAAAAATTTTTTTAAGAATTTGGTTTTTGAGTTTGTCTCTGCTGTTTCGGATCTAGGAGTCTAACTATGTAATTAAAGATGATAAATAACTGCTAATCCCATTCAATGTGTATATTATGTAGAGAAATTAATTAATTGATACATAAATATTTAATTAACTTTATTATCAATGGCCTCATGAAAATCTGCTCCGTCTCTTTGTGCTCAGATTGACCCTGAACTGTTTTTGGTGCACATTGGTCCCTGTTTGGTTAACATTTTCTAGAACCGCCACTGATGTTAAGTTCAAAACATCACTAACCTCAAATTGCTGCAGGTTCAACCAGACTACTGACTCTGGTTAGAAAAATATACCAGCTACCACCAAAAAGTGTTTCCTTTGTTTCTTTGTTCCTCCAGCGACTCAATGAGGCAGAGTTTAGTTTTGTGAGTTTCATATTGATCGAGTCAGTCAGGTTGGCAGACGGTGTTATTGGTGGGAAAGAGGCTCATTATTCCCGATCAGAAGTTAGCTCAGTACTAAACCTTTAGTCCATCTTTCATAAGGGGTGCATAGAGAGGCATTACTCTGTCTATGACTAAAGAAGCATTCAGATCGCTTCCCTTTCATGTTTGGCGAACATCAGCCTGAATGTGAGTGCGTCATCTCTTATCTAAAGCTCCACCAGCGCCAACAATTTTGACCAGACTTCTGTGAAGAACACACCTACATTGTTTTCTCTTAACAAGCACTTGCTATCTAGACTGCACCCACGCTCGCCCAGCAATCATCCTCTTCTCACGCTCTTCACCCTCCTCTTCTCTTCCCTCCCGCACACCCTCAGATAGCCTCGCTCATTATGCACCTCATATTGTCGGCAATCGATAGAGCGCTGGCAAGAAAAAAGGAAGATCCATATATGAACAATTTCTTTTTTTTTTTTTTTTACCACAGATATACAGAAAAGAAAAAGGCTGAATAAAATGTTTTACAGCGGAGGCAGGTTTTCATTGCATTAACAAAAATAGAATACACAGAAGAAGGCGTCCAATTGTGATGCGGTAGTGGCGCCACACAGGGCGAGCAGATAACATGTGAAGGAGAACTGATGATCACTGATTACTCATAGAATAAAATGAAACCTTATCGCATGGATTCAGAGGTGAATAGATCAGAAGCCTGTGGTTTAGCAGAACAGAGTAACACGTCGCCATGAACAAAATAGAAAATGATGTATAACGAACCATAATAACTTAAAAGAAACATAACAGAAGCCTTTAAATATACAACATGTGAGAAATCAAAAGTCTGATTTTAACGATGCGGTTCTAGTTCCAGAGGTCTCAAAGGTAAAACTGTTCATGTGGTTGCTTTGGCAGGGGAGCAGCAGGAGTTGCATTGCTCTCTGTAACCGAGTCTATGCAATGTCTCTTGTTCATCATCACTGCTTGCGTCACTCTAGCACTCCAGGAGGAAAACACACAACTTTAGGCAGAGTTCTGTGTGTAATGAGCGATGTCTCCCGGTTGGTTTCCGTGGCTGAGGCCTCTTTCTGACTGAGGAGAATCAAAAGATCTACGGCTTCTTGCTGGAGCAGGACTTGCAGCATTGCTGTCCATAGAACCTGTGATTACAGACGCCATGTTGGGGGACCAAGTGGCACCAGTTGAAGTGATCAATGCAGCGGTCACCTGTCGTCAGAAAAAATAAATAGTTTGAGCAAAAACTGTTTTTTTTTATGTTTTTTAGAGTTTTCCCATCCTTATACAGTGGGGAGAACAAGTATTTGATACACTGTTGATTTTTCAGGTTTTCCCACTTGCAAAGCTTGTAGAAGACTGTAATTTTTATCATAGGTACTCTTCAACTGTGAGTGATGGAATCTAAAACAAAAAAAAAGAAAAATACAATGTATGATTTTTAAATAATTAATTTCCATTTTATGGTGTGAAATAAGTATTTGATCATCTATCAACCAGTAAGAATTTTGGCTCTCACAGACATGTTAGTTCTTCTTTAAGAAGCCCTCCTGTTCTCCACTCATTACCTGTATTAACTGCACCTGTTTGAACTCGTTACCTGTATAAAAGACACTCCAGCATCTCCACAATGCCCAAGACCAGAGAGCTGTGTAAGGACATCAGGGATAAAATTGTAGACCTGCACAAGGCTGGGATGGGCTACGGGACAATAGGCAAGATGCTTGGTGAGAAGGCAACAACAGTTGGTGCAATTATTAGAAAATGGAAGAAATACAAAATAACGGAAAATCTCCCTCGGTCTGGGCCATGCAAGATTTCACCTCGTGGAGCATCATTGATGTTGAGGAAGGTGAGAAATGAGCCCAGAACTAAACGGCAGGACCTGGTCAATGACCTGAATAGAGCTGGGACCACAGTCTCAAAGAAAACAATCAGTAACACTCTACGCCGTCAAGGATTAAAATCCTGCAGTGCATGCAAGGTGCCCTTCCTCAAGCCAACGCATGTCAAAGCCCGTCTGATGTTTGCAAATGACCATCTGAATGATCCAGAGGAGGAATGGGAGAAGGTCATGTGGTCTGATGAGACAAAAATAGAACTTTTTGGTTTAAACTCCACTCGTCATGTTTGGAGGAAGAAGAATGATGAGTACAACCCCAAGAACACCATCCCAACCGTGAAGCATGGCGGTGGAAACATCATTCTTTGGGGATGCTTTTCCGCAAAGGGGACAGGACTGCACCATATTGTGGGAAGGATGGATGGGGCCATGTATCGTGAGATTTTGGCCAACAACCTCCTTCCCTCAGTAAGAGCACTTAAGATGGGTCGTGGCTGGGTCTTCCAGCATGATAACGACCCAAAACACACAGCCAGGGCAACTAAAGAGTGGTTCCGTAGGAAACATCTTAAGGTCCTGGAGTGGCCTAGCCAGTCTCCAGACCTGAATCCAATAGAAAATCTTTGGAGGGAGCTTAAAGGAATAGTACACCCAAAACATGATTAGCCTTCATTTTGTACTCACCCCCATGCTGAACAACACTCTGGAGTACTTTTTTGATATCTCAAATGCATCTGGAGATCTGGGAGGCTTCTTGCTGTCTGCTGACATTCAAATAATGGAGGTCTATGGCGCCCGAGGCAGAAAGGTCCATAAAAGTCCACAAAAAACGTGTCAATATTCCTCCATACTGCTCGTCCAATGTATTCCAAGTGTCCTGAGTGGGTATCGTCCATAATTTACTCGAAACGAAGTCATTTAGAATGTTTTTAGAGCATAAACAGTAGTGTATAGGATTTCCTGAAAGCGCGCACCAGCGAGTTCACAACGCTACGGATGCCGGCAGACCAAACCAGATGAAAGTGCACATTCAGCTCGGCAAAGAACTCATGCTCTTCCTCAACACTGAAGTCCTCATACATTTTTCTTTCGTTGTTTCTTTCTTTGCACTGGTAAACAGCACATTTCTTCTTCTACACTTCCATTATCGGCAGAGCAGACGCTGAATGCGCACTTTCATCTGGTTTGGTCTGCCGCGGTTTCCGTAGACTCGTGAACGCGCTTTCAGGAAATCCTATACACTACTGTTTAGGCTCTAAAAACATTCTAAATGACTTTGTTTCGAGTAAATTATGGACGCTACCCACTCAGGACACTTGGAATACATTGGATGAGCAGTATGGAGGAATATTGACACGTTTTTTGTGGACTTTTATGGACCTTTCTGCCTCGGGCGCCATAGACCTCCATTATTTGAATGTCAGCAGACAGCAAGAAGCCTCCCAGATCTCCAGATGCATTTGAGATATCAAAAAAGTACTCCAGAGTGTTGTTCAGCATGGGGGTGAGTAGAAAATGAAGGCTAATCATGTTTTGGGTGTACTATTCCTTTAAAGTCCGTGTGGCCCAGCGACAGCCCCGAAACCTGAAGGCTCTGGAGGAGATCTGTATGGAGGAGTGGGCCAAAATCCCTGCTGCAGTATGTGCAAACCTGGTCAAGAACTACAGGAAACGTCTGATCTCTGTAATTGCAAACAAAGGTTTCTGTACCAAATATTAAGTTTCATTGTTCTGGTGTATCAAATACTTATTTCACACAATAAAAAGGAAATTAATCATACATTGTATTTTGATGGATTGTTGTTTTAGATTCCATCACTCACAGTTGAAGAGTACCTATGATAAAAATTACTGTCTTCTACAAGCTTTGCAAGTGGGAAAACCTGAAAAATCAACAGTGTATCAAATACTTGTTCTCCCCACTGTATAGTCCATTTAAAGTGTTCAACTGGAGTTTATATCAGAGATATTATTATTATAGTCGGCCTTCAAACAACAAACCAGATTTGTCGATTATTTTCTCCCCAATTTTGTGCCACGAAAGATGAATTTATCTTGTTCAAGAAAGAAAATCAAAGGCTGCTGACTGGCAGCATTTAACAAAAGGTTGACTTTACTAGATGAAGAGAATAATGTGGCTGATTTTAAAGATGCAGCAATGATACCTTATTGAAATTGAAGAACATTCATAAGCAGGTATTAGTTCTTGTGTGTAAATGAGACAAAAACATCCTAAATATTCCAGGACCTATAACCAAACAACAACACTGCAAAAAAATCTAAATCTAGAAAAGTCATTTTTTCTTAAAATAAGTGCATTTGTTCTTGAATTGAGAAGACAAGAGACATTTTGCCAATGGAACAAGACAATTTAAACTTAAAATAAGAAAACACAATTGCATTGTCTTATTTCAAGTGAATATTATATAATTATCTTATTTTAAGAGTAAAAATGCTCATTCCATTGGCAAACTATCTCATTTACCTACTCAAATTAAGGGTGAATACACTTAATTGAAGAAATTTTTACTTATTTCTAGATCATTTTTCCAGTGAAGAAAATGCAGCAAAAAGGCTGATATTCATGTTGGTTCATTCAGGGAGGTGTCAGGAAAAACCCGGACAGGTGCACAAAAATATCCTTTCATCATTCGATAGCCCCCCCCACCCCCGCTTCTGTCACATCTTTTTGTTTTGCGCTAGTCGAGTTATCGTACGTTGATGAGTCGATTTTGTTCTGAATATTTTCTGCCAGCCGTTCGCTTTTTCTGTTTGTTGTGTTACAATTCAAGAGAATGATACAAAAGCTGTAGCCTTCAGTTAAACCTCCTACTTCCTTCCTACTTGATTCCTTCACCCTCTTTAACCACACAGCAACATATTTGAACTTGTGCAAAAAAACAAATGTCCTGCAGTTGCAACAGATTGCTGTAGGAGCAGCATTGCTCCAGTGTTGCACTGATGGAGAAGAAAAACATTTAAAAGTAAATCTCAAAGGGTCTCCTATGCTCCCATGAGATTATTTATCTCTGGATTTGAATGCTAAACGTATTTTAAGTACTTCTGCTCAAAAGCACCACCCTTACATCTCATCCTATCTTCCTGTTTCTGATTGGCTGGGACTGAAATGCATTCACACTCCAGGGTCTGAATGAAACATGCCGAGACGGGCAGCTGCACTGGAAAAAATCTAAATCTAGATACGTTATTCTTATCTGAAAATAAGTGCATTTGTTCTTGGATTGAGGAGGTAAAAGAGAGATTTTCCCAATGGAACAAGACAATTTACACTTAAAATAAGAAAACACAATTGCATTGTCTTATTTCAAGTGCATTTTATCCAATTACCTTATTTTAAGTGTAAAATTACTCATTCCATTGGCAAACCATCTCATTTACCTACTCAAATTAAAGGGGGAATACACTTAATTTAAGATTTATTTACTTATTTCTATGTCGTTTTTGCAGTGAAGGTATCTGGATTTGGCCTGCTAAAAATAACTAAACATTTCTTAAAATAAGAATTTGATTATTTCTGCCCCTAAAATAAGATAATTTAATAATATACAATTACAATGAGATAATTGAGCTGGTTTTTCTTATTTCAGAAAGAAAACATCTTATTCTGTTGTCAAATTATGTAAATGACCTGCATAAAACAAGAGAAAATACAATTATTTAAAAAAAAACTGCTGTGTTTTGGGCTGCACAGTGGAGCAGTGGTTAGCACTGCTGCCTTGCAGCAGGAAGGTTCTGGGTTCGAATCCTGGCCCAGGGTTTTTCTGCATGATGTTCACCCTGTGCATGCATGCATGTTTTCCTTATTCCCCTTAGGTGTGAGTGTGTGTGTTAATGGTTGTTTGTTTCTGTTTTGTCCTGCGATGGACTGGCGACCAGTCCAGGGTGGACCCCGCCTCTCACCCGTGGACAGCTGGAGATCGGCACCAGAACCCCTCGTGAGCCTAGCATGGATAAATGAATGCAGCATTGATCCACCCTAAAGACCGCACTCAGTAACAGTAGGACGAGGAAATCTTATACATGTAGGCTCTAATTTGGGCTTGAGATGCATCCTTAGTAAAACCAGAAACCTGTACTAAAAGCTCAAGACTTCACCTTTCAGAATGGGTCCAGCAGACAGAACACGGTTGCCGGGGTGTGGTGCAGGAGCTGGGGGAGCCGCAGGGCAAAAGTTTGTGTTGCATGCCCTAGAAGTGACGGGCCTCTGGTGGGCCGGGCAGCCAGCTGAAGGCCGACCTTGCTGGAGACACTGGATGGTTCGAGTCTGAACCCCTCCTCCACAGGATACCGAGCACTAAAGCAGAGGGAAAGCAGCAATGAGGCAAAAACAAATGAATATGCATCTCCAAGAGGCAATCATCAGAGAAATACAAACAGAAGAAACTCTGCAGCATTTGCTGTGAAGTATTTGTGATGAGAGCAGACAGAGGAGGGAGGGGAGAGGAATGGATGGATGGAGGAAAAGTCCAGGCAGAGAGCGAGAACAGATGAACACCAATATCCCAAGCAGCATGTTCTCGCCCTCTAGCAAAGCTGTCAGGAGACATCTTGCCTGGTCCGAGCGTACAGGCATCCCGAGCTTAAGATCAAGCAGAATAAGACACTGAGCCTGAAGACTTTTTGCATAATAAATGATGCAACAGTTAGGCCACACAACCTTCTAGCAAAAAAAAGAAAATCTGGGTAAGAGTGGAGGCCCATTCCCCATGGCTGTTATTATACAGCTAGCTTACATGTGTGAGTAACGCTCCACCTACGTTGTACAGTCCATCTCTGGGAGATAATAACACTGAGGATCCAGTTCACAGGGTCCAATGTCTTGAACTAAGCAGTTCAAGCTTAGCTTTAAAATTGATTTATTTATGCCAGAGATTTCCAGAGAACAGAGTCTGATGAAGCGAAATCAATCACATGAGAGAAGTCGGGTGGAAAATACATTTCATGAATTTCTCTTGTTCTCAGTTATAACTACTTTTACAGGAGAAGCTCATATTTAGATAGAAGTATCAGGTGATTCTGTGTTAAACACATAGATGATGGGTGCCGGGTGAAGCAGTTCTGCTTTGGTGGTAGTTTCCTACCTCATAATGTTTATTTTATTTTTTTATTCAATGCCTGGTTTGCATGTTTAAACACCAAAGTTTAGAAATAAAAATGTGGAAGAATGTTTTTCAAATCAGAAATCCCATCTTTTACTTCATTAATAGCCGTTAGAACCACATGGTTCTAAAACTGTTCTATTTCCTTTACTGTTAGTCATAATGAGTTTGGCTATAAATTAGCTGGATATTAAAAAAAAAAACCCACTAAAAACCTATAAACTGTGACGGATTAGTTACAGTGACCCGAGTATTATCACCGTTGTCTACCTGTGCTCTGCTCCTCCCACCACTGTAATAAGGGTGTGCAAAGTAAACGTCATGACGATGCATCGCAATTCTAATTTTTTTGTGATCTAAGGCAAGAATCGATTATAAAAAATAAAAATGAACAAATAAAATACATGAATGGTTGGCGCACATCAGCCAAACTGTAATACAACTTCCAGTCCAGCAGATGTCGCTGCGGATGTGTTGACGCCCGCTGCTTTGTGTCACAAGCATTTCTGGCCGCGGGATACTGCGACGAGTCATTCGTAAACAAAATATGGAGGAGACTGAGAAAATTCGCCCTGCTTGGATGCATTTTGGCTTTAAAAACAAAGAAGGTAAAAATGAAATTGATATGATGCACGTCATTTGCAAAAGGACCACTGAGGCCATGTAAACAGCACTGATTATCCTTATTTTGTTATTTTAAGTTGGATGAATCCTAAGATCTTTTTGTCAGTGTGTCCACGCCAGTAATAGTAATATTTCTGTCCAGTATTTGTTTTCATGGCAACACCTCCAAAAGTCGTTTCAATAAATACAGCTATGTGTGAATTCAGTTGCTTTCAGTTATGTATCAATTGAAGACACGATCCAGATCACACCCAGCCAGTCAGCCACTGGTAAGGGCTGTATCTTTTTCTTACAGTGTTCAGTGAAAATATCGCAACGCATCGCAATGTTTCAAGCATCGTGATAGAAAGGCATCGTGGCATGTGAATCGTGATTCGAATCGAATCATGACTTCTTTGCCAATACCCACCCCTACTCTGGAATTGGAACTTGAGCAACGTTATTTTTATCAAATTTTATCTTTTGCATTCCATAAAACATGTAACAACATATTCAAATAGATCATGGGGAGCGCATGCAAATAAAATATTTAGAGGTAAATATTTTTGTTTTTGCTGCAGCTTTACCTGCCTTTAAAGGCAAGTTAAGTAAATATTGGATTTTCTGTTCAGAGAGTTCAGTTTAATTAAACCTCTAACTATCTACAGACCTTCTGCAGATTTTCAAATCTAAATTTTTTTAGCTTTAAGTAAAATTTAAAGCACTGATTCTTCCCCGTCTTTAACTTACTAGGGCTAAAAATAACTTTTTGTCAAGATGCTATTTTACTGGTAATTTCTGTTTTTTTTGCACATGTATTCATTGATGTTTTTCTTGTTCTAAAAACTTGAAATTCCCTGATCCAAACTCTTTCTTTGTAGGTCTGTTCTTGGTTTATTTGCCCTGCTGGAAGTCGAACCTCTCCTGCAGCCTTATCTCTTCTCCAGCTGCTCACAGCTTTTCTCAGGCTCAACGCTAGAAAATATTAAATTCATGATTGGATCAACAAATAACTGGAATATTTCCAGCAGTTAGTTCCCAGATAAAATAAGTCAGCCCAGCCTGGCTTCTTAAAAACACATAACTAAATAAAGATAAATAAATAAGAATTGAGATGACATTAGCTGGGATTTGAAAAGAACCAATAAACGATATGTAGTTTGTTTCTAACAAACGGATCAAAGGTTCAGTCTGCCTCGCATTTAAACCCCATTTCTACTCATCAAAAAGTGATTTACAGCAGCTGCCGTCTATAACGGCCAGAGGTTTCCTATTAGAGCATAAAAGCCAATCCTGACATCTCCTTATAGTATTTGAAACAGACTGATAGATAAAAACATGACCTTTACACAGTATTTTTAATTTAGTTAAAAAGTTTTATGATTTAGATCAGAGGTCACGGATTAGTGGATCCGGATCCACCTGCTGGCTAAACCGGACCGGATTTAAAACATTTATAAATTACCGCATGTCGTCAGATGACAGTGTCTAATTTCACTTGCGCCTCTTCTCCTCTTAATACGGTAAAGCCTTCCGGAGCGTCCGGCTCCAGGCTGCACGTGATCCAAATGAGCCAATAAGCTGTCAGTCTGGGTTGCTGCTGCTGCTACTTTTAGACACAGCAGGCAAACCTGTGGCAAGCCGGGCGATGGGAAAGAAGGAGAAGACCATGAGAAAAAGAGAGCAGAGAAAGTGTGGACTGCTGGAAGAACTGTGGTGAACTGGTGAAAGAAAAGTGAAATGGCGTGCTCAAAGATGACCCTGCACATTTAGAGGATGTTTGGCTCAACCTGCTGCTGTGAAGCAGGATTCTCCACCATGAACAGAATCAGCAATAAATCTGGATCCAGGCTCAAAATGAGCTCCTTGATATGTGCTTGAGAATGGCTTAGTCTCCATTTAAACCCAGGTTTAAAGCCTTGCAGGGCAGCCTAAAGCCCACTGCCAATATTAAGACAGAAAAAAGAAAGAAAAAAAACAAACGATCAGTTCAGGGGTTTGAGAAAATATGGGAATCAGGAAATTGTCTATATACCAAACTGAACGATTGTTGTTCTCTAATTCAAAAACAATTTTGATTTTAAAATGGGAAAATATTCTATTTTTTTAAATATTTTTTTTTATATAAAAATGCAATGATAGGGATAAAAACCACATTTTATTTCAGTGTTAAATACTGTTTAAAGTAAAAGTTTATAGTTAAAAATGTCTCTGAAATGGTTGAAGATTTTCTTTATTCGATCCCCCTGATTTTTAATTGGTTACCTCTGATTTAGATGATTTACTAGAACCCTCTTATAAGCCTAAAAGTCTTTACTTTATACAGTTTGCAAACCAAGTATGAACAGGTGTACCTGCTGCCAGGGAGAAGGGTACCAGCCTGACACCCCGCCGCTGAAGGTTGTTCTACCTGAGGCCTCCCGGGGGAGCTCTGGGCACGGAGCTCGGCTGCAGACCTGCTGCAGATCCACTGAAGGTTTGGCAATATTTCTGCAGCGCCGTACAGGAAACTGCACGTACCTGAGCAAAACAAACACAGTGGAAACTCAAACAAGCCGACCCTACAGGCTCTCCGGTTTAAAGGTAATCCACATGGATGATGCAGCCGGGGCTCAAGTGTCTGTGCCAGTGTATTCGAGTGGGATGAAAGCCCCGGTGAGAAGTCAAAGGCTCATACCCTCCCTGTGAGTCTCTCTCCCCGCAGCGAAGCTCTCTTCTCTGTATGCCGGAGCCACAGGACCTGGAACACTGAAACAGAGGAGAGGGAATATTTAGCAGATCACCTGTACAGGGTTCATATCACAGCAAATATCACAGGTAGGGCTGAAACAATTAATCATGATTAATCTGTTACTGAAAAAATCTTCAATTAATTCTTCATTCTTAAATTTTTAATTAATTAATTAATTCTTATATTAATTTAGAAACTGATGATTGGTTATTTGGAGTGTAGGGACTCTAAAACAAGCATTTAGCTGAGAGAACAACCCATTTATAGCTATAAGTACACAAAAATTGTAAAAAAAAAAAAAAAATATATATATATATATATATATATATATATATATATATACACATACATACATAAATATTTTGCATTTCAGATAAAAACCTTTTTTGACTTTCACTATGCTCTATCCAGAACTCCTCAAGTGGGAAAGTTTTCGTTTCACCTGATTTTATTCTGTAAAAATCTTCTTTAAAGAACCTTTGCTATCCGATTTACAGGTGCTGGTCATAAAATTAGAATATCATGAAAAAGTAGATTGATTTCAGTAATTCCATTTAAAAAGTGAAAATTGTATATTATATTCATACATTACATACAAACTCATATATTTCAGATGTTTATTTTGTTTAATTTTGATGATTACAAATGACAACAAATGAAAATCTCAAATTCATCATATCAGAAAATTAGAATATTGTGAAAAGGTTCAAAATTGATGGCCCCTGGTGCCACACTCTAATCAGCTAATTAACTCAAACCACCTGCAAAAGCCTTTAAATGGTCTTTCAGTCTAGTTCTATAGGCTACACAATCATGGGGAAGACTGCTGACTTGACAGTTGTCCAAAAGACGACCATCGACACCTTGCACAAGGAGGGCAAGACACAAAAGGTCATCGCTAAAGAGGCTGGCTGTTCACAGAGCTCAGTGTCCAAGCACATTAATAGAGAGGCGAAGGGAAGGAAAAGATGTGGTCGAAAAAAGTGTACAAGCAAGAGAGATAACCGCACCCTGGAGAGGATTGTGAAACAAAACCCATTCAAAAATGTGGGGGAGATTCACAAAGAGTGGACTGCAGCTGGAGTGAGTGCTTCAAGAACCACCACACACAGACGTATGAAAGACATGGGTTTCTGCTGTCGCATTCCTTGTGTCAAGCCACTCTTGAACCACAGACAGCGTCAGAAGCGTCTTGCCTGGGCTAAAGAGAAACAGGACTGGACTGCTGGTGAGTGGTCCAAAGTCATGTTCTCTGATGAAAGTAAATTTTGCATTTCCTTTGGAAATCAAGGTCCCAGAGTCTGGAGGAAAAGAAGAGAGGCACTTCATCCACGTTGCTTGAAGTCCAGTGTAAAGTTTCCACAGTCAGTGATGGTTTGGGGTGCCATGTCATCTGCTGGTGTTGGTCCATTGTGTTTTCTGAGGTCCAGGGTCAACGCAGCCACATACCAGGAAGTTTTAGAGCACTTCATGCTTCCTGCAGCTGACCAACTTTTTGGAGATGCAGATTTCATTTTCCAACAGGACTTGGCACCTGCACACAGTGCCAAAGCTACCAGTACCTGGTTGAAGGACCATGGTATCCCTGTTCTTAATTGGCCAGCAAACTCTCCTGACCTTAACCCCATAGAAAATCTATGGGGTATTGTGAAGAAGAAGATGCAATACACCAGACCCAACAATTCAGAAGAGCTAAAAGCCACTATTAGAGCAACCTGGGCTATCATAACACCTGAGCAGTGCCACAGACTGATCGACTCCATGCCACGCTGCATTGCTGCAGTAATACAGGCCAAAGGAGGCCCAACTAAATACTGAGTGCTGTACATGCTCATACTTTTCATGTTCATACTTTTCAGTTGGCCAACATTTCTATAAATCCTTTGTTTTTATTGGTCTTCAGTAATATTCTAATTTTCTGATATGATGAATTTGAGATTTTCATTTGTTGTCATTTGTAATCATCAAAATTAAACAAAATAAACATCTGAAATATATGAGTTTGTATGTAATGTATGAATATAATATACAAGTTTCACTTTTTAAATGGAATTACTGAAATCAATCTACTTTTTCATGATATTCTAATTTTATGACCAGCACCTGTAAACCCTGGTTGGATAAGGATTCAAAACTGAATATGAAGATGAAATCTGACGCACAGTTTCAGATTTACAACTGATAAAATAATTGCTGTCTGTGGTTCTACAGTAGGCTATGGTGTAATTGAGCAATATATGAAAAAAAAAAAAAGAACTGAACTAGTTCATTTTTTGGAACTGTGAACTTAGTTCAAAATTTTGAATTATGAACTATGAACTGAATTAGTTCATTTTAAAATGTGTGAACTGAACTTTGAACTAGTTCACGTAGAAAGAGAACTTTCCCAACACTGCGTATGGCTTCCCAGGAGCTGGCTGATGCATTACCTCAGTCTCCAACAAAGATTAATAGCAACAGACAGACAAGTGCTGTAGGTTATCTATAAGGCCCTGGCCAAACATATTAAACATTGGCAGATTTAACCTAAATAAAGGAAAACATATTTAAGAAGCTTCTTCCTATTTAGGAAAGACGCTGCAACATTTTGCATACAAATCATATAATATCATGCACATCTTAAATAATGTTTTATAGTTACAACAATTCCTATATTTGATGGTTTAAGTTGGATGTCTTTAACAGGGGGTCCGCGCCCCCTTGGGGGTCCACGGAGGAACTGCATCAGGGTCGCAAAAGTTTTGGCTTTTTTTTTTTTTTTTTTATTCCCCCGTGCAATTTTTTCCACTAATTGAAATGTCTTTAAATCCACATTAACATGAATTCAGCAGACTGTAGTAAACAGATAAATGGAGGCATAAGATGTCTTTCAGTCATCAATGCTCACATTCAGTGACCGTTTCATTCACAACACCTGTCCCATCAACCAGGAATCAGAAATACTTTGATAATCCCAGGGAGGGATTACTTTAGTTACATTACTCCATCTGTAATAGAGTGACTATAGGACCAGTTTGATAGAACACTATTTCATACAATATATATAATTTGGGGGTCCGGAGGAGACCTGCACTTGAAAAGATTTAAATCTAGATAAGTCAATGGAACAAGACAATTTACATTTAAACAAAGAAAAAAAACCCTAACCCTTATTTCAAGTGCATATTGTCAAAGTATCTTATTTTGAGAGTAAAAATGCTCACTCCATTGGCAAATCATCTTATCTACCTACTCAAATTAAGGGTAAATATACTCAATTAAAGACATTTTTACTTATTTCTAGATCGTTTTTGCAGTGTGTTAGTGATATTTCAGAGCACAGTGAGGCGGCTTTTAATTTGAAGCTAACAACTGCCACCATCTCTGATAGCTCATTATAACTGTTCATTATTTTTCACGATCACATTATTACAGCCGTGTAGCAGAGCTCAAAGAACAAGAAAAGCGTTCAACTGGAAACCTACCTGCCTGAACGGCTATATTGAAAGTATAGCGGGGGAAATCCTGTTTACTAGATGAAATTGGATAAATGAATAGGGGACGATCAGGCAGCTGAAATATTCACTGCGAGCTGCTTTCATCTCAGCGACGGTCTCTGCTTTCAGCTCAGGTTGTTCTTTGCTGTTTGTTGTTTTCACCAATCTTCTAGCAGGGAGGTAAAGCTGAGCACTAATGATAGTTTCAAATGAATCCAGCTGCCCTGCATATTAATATGTGGAAACTACTTCACTGCTCTGAAATGAATTTCTCTATTAATGACTGATAAATGCTTGGAAAACCAGGAAAGGCCTGAAGCCTGTGATGATATGTGTGAGGTACAGTCTACTCTATTTAAAGAACAAAATGCCGTCTGCAGAAAGAAATCACATAGACTACAGCTGCTCTGCTGGTTTACTTAGAAATACCTTTGCTAAAGTATTAAAAGTCTCTGAATAACCATCATGTTTATTGAGTTGCATAGATATTTGATTTCATAAACAAATAAATACTAATTGTACTGTGGAAGGAAGTGAAACATGTCAATAATTTGTTTAAAAAATGTTTTGTTGTTTGACCATCTTTCCTGCCTGAGAGGCAAAGCAAAGCATATTTTCACCACATTTCATGGTAAAGATGGCGGTTCGGGGGGATGTTTCTATATGCACTTTGAGGTTATAGACCATATACACTCACCGGTCACTTTATTAGGTACCCCATGCTAGTAACGGGTTGGACCCCCTTTTGACTTCAGAACGGCCTCAATTCTTTGTGGCATAGATTCAACAAGGTGCTGGAAGCATTCCTCAGGGAGTTTGGTCCATATTGACATGATGGCATCACACAGTTGCCGCAGATTTGTCGGCTGCACATCCATGATGCGAATCTCACGTTCCACCACATCCCAAAGATGCTCTATTGGATTGAGATCTGGTGACTGTGGAGGCCATTTGAGTACAGTGAACTCATTGTCATGTTCAAGAAACCAGTCTGAGATGATTCCAGCTTTATGACATGGCGCATTATCCTGCTGAAAGTAGCCATCAGAAGTTGGGTACGTTGTGGTCGTAAAGGGATGGACATGGTCAGCAACAATACTCAGGTAGGCTGTGGCGTTGCAACGATTGGTACCAAGGTACCAAGGGGCCCAAAGAGTGCCAAGAAAATATTCCCTACACCATGACACCACCACCACCAGCCTGAACCGTTGATACAAGGCAGGATGGATCCATGCTTTCATGTTGTAGACGCCAAATTCTGACCCTACCATCCGAATGTCGCAGCAGAAATCGAGACTCATCAGACCAGGCAACGTTTTTTCCAATCTTCTATTGTCCAATTTCGATGAGCTTGTGCAAATTGTAGCCTCAGTTTCCTGTTCTTAGCTGAAAGGAGTGGCACCCGGTGTGGTCTTCTGCTGCTGTAGCCCATCTGCCTCGACGTACTGTGCGTTCAGAGATGCTCTTCTGCCCACCTTGGTTGTAACGGGTGGTTATTTGAGTCACTGTTGCCCTTCTATCAGCTCCAACCAGTCTGGCCATTCTCCTCTGACCATTCTCTGTAAACCCTAGAGATGGTTGTGCGTGAAAATCCCAGTAGATCAGCAGTTTCTGAAATACTCAGACCAGCCCTTCTGGCACCAACAATCATGCCACGTTCAAAGTCACTCAAATCACCTTTCTTCCCCATACTGACGCTCGGTTTGAACTGCAGGAGATTTTCTTGACCATGTCTACATGCCTAAATGCACTGAGTTGCCGCCATGTGATTGGCTGCTCAGAAATTAAGTGTTAACGAGCAGTTGGACAAGTGTACCTAATAAAGTGGCCGGTAAGTGTACATAAAATGCCACTTTTGGCCTTGGCACATGTAGCATTTTTTGCCACATATACATTTGCACTATTTTGTGTTGTTAATTCTGTGTATTTTACAACTCAAATTATTTTGATTTGCACAATATTGTCAAAAAAAGGTCAATGAGGTGAATCTGATTGACTGTCTACCTCAAAGACGAATGTTTGCATTTTTATATTTTCAATAAATTAATTGAAAGTGAAGTGAACCTGTTGAGTGATTTTGTACGAGGTAACTGTTTTTACATTGTCTCAGGCAGGTTAGATATCAAGCAACGTCTACTTAGACTCTGACACATTCTGAAAAATTAAAACTTGTGTTTTGCTTAAATATCTGATCCTTCTGCTAACACAATTTTGATGGTTTATAGCATCTCTTTTAATGCGATAAAAAGACTAAATAATAATTTTGACTATGTATTGGTATGTATTTTACGGTGGCGTAAGGTGCTGGAAAAAGTTTTTAAATGGATCTTGAAAAGTGCTTGATTTTGACTTTGGAAAAGGTGTACGAACCCTGATTATAAAGAGGATTTTGCATGTAGACAAAAGTTCCTTTAATGGTTTGCAACTTCCAGAGGATAATTTAAAATTTTATTTTAAGCTATTTTTCTTTGTCTTATCGTTTAAAGTTTGTGGAACACATAATGAATATCTTTAATGCCGACAACTTCTCTAAAGTTAACAGATACATACCTTGGTAACTCTTTTATGCTTTTCTTTTCTATAATGTGAGTTTAGTTGGTTAACTCTATTAATTATTCTATTCTGAATGTTAAAAACTCAGTATATCCTGTTCTAACCTAAACCAACAGTCTGAAATAAATACCCAGTCACTCCTCTGATTAAAATTTGGATAAAATAGATTAAGATTTGAAATGCAGGTTATTGATTAATGAATTAATCTAACTGAATAATAATTCATTTCTAAGCAGCGATTTTATAAGAAACAATAAAGTTTTCTCTTGTACCAAGAGGATCTACGGAAGAGGATTAGGGCCACTGAAAAAAAAAAAGTTAACTGATTTTTAAATTTTATTTCAGTTTAACATGGGAAAAAAGTCAGAATTCTGACTTTTTTTCTCAGAGATCTGACTTTTTTCTCAGAGTTCTGACTTTTTTCTCAGAGTTCTGACTTTTTTCTCAGAGTTCTGACTTTTTTCTTAGAATTCTGACTTTTTTCTTAGAATTCTGACTTTAATCTCAGAATTCTGACTTTTTTCTTAGAATTCTGACTTTAATCTCAGAGTTCTGACTTTTTTCTCAGAGTTCTGACTTTTTTCTCAGAGTTCTGACTTTTTTCTCAGAGTTCTGACTTTTTCTTAGAATTCTGACTTTTTTCTTAGAATTCTGACTTTAATCTCAGAGTTCTGACTTTTTTCTCAGAGTTCTGACTTTTTTCTTAGAATTCTGACTTTAATCTCAGAATTCTGACTTTTGTCTCAGAATTCTGACTTTTTTCTTAGAATTCTGACTTTAATCTCAGAATTCTGACTTTTGTCTCAGAATTCTGACTTTTGTCTCAGAATTCTGACTTTTGTCCCAGAATTCTGACTTTTTTCTTAGAATTCTGACTTTTGTCTCAGAATTCTGACTTTTTTCTTAGAATTCTGACTTTTTTCTTAGAATTCTGACTTTAATCTCAGAGTTCTGACTTTTTTCTCAGAGTTCTGACTTTTTTCTTAGAATTCTGACTTTAATCTCAGAGTTCTGACTTTTTTCTCAGAGTTCTGACTTTTTTCTTAGAATTCTGACTTTAATCTCAGAATTCTGACTTTTTTCTTAGAATTCTGACTTTTTTCTCAGAGTTCTGACTTTTTTCTTAGAATTCTGACTTTAATCTCAGAATTCTGACTTTTGTCTCAGAATTCTGACTTTTATCTTAGAATTCTGACTTTAATCTCAGAATTCTGACTTTTGTCCCAGAATTCTGACTTTTGTCTCAGAATTCTGACTTTTTTCTTAGAATTCTGACTTTAATCTCAGAATTCTGACTGAATTCTGAGAAAAAAAGTCAGAATTCTGAGATTAAAGTTAGAATTCTGACTTTTTTCCCATACTATACTGAAATAAAAAAAAAAAAAAAAATCAGTTAACTTTGTTTGTTTTTTTTCAGTGGCCCTAATCCTCTTCCGTAAGGATCTCTCCTTAACATGAAGGGCTATATTTATTATACAATATGTCGATTTAAGAATAAAATAGTGCTTCATTATATCTGAACTATTTTTTGTTCCAGCTGTATTAAATTTCAGAGGGCCCGGTGGCGCCAGTGTACGGCAGCCTCGCTTCTGTCAGTGAGCCCCAGGGCAGCTGTGGCTACAATGTAGCTTGCCACCATCAGTGTGTGAGTGTGTGTGTGAATGGGTGAATGAATGTAGTGTAAAGCGCTTTGGTCAGGTCTCCTAACTTGAATAAAGGCGCTATATAAGTACATGCCATTTACCATTTAAATGCATAAATGTTTATTAAAATTTTATCAAATATATCTATAAGATATAACAAATGAAGGAACCTTTTAGGTTTCTGAAAAACATGGCTGAAATATGCGAAATCTTGGTGGTTTCTAATGTAGAGAGATGTAAAGCTGTCATTTAAAGTCAGGGTATGTCGCTCTGACAGACTGTCAGACTTTTTGTCGCCTCGTTTCAGTTGGGTGGACCAAATCTGTGATCTAGTTTTATGTTTCTATCTGCTGGGAGAGACTTTGTGCTGTAGGCAGCATTTTAGAACAGCTTCTGGTCAATAAAATAGCTTTTGACTTTTTAAATCATAAAGTTTTCTTTTTTTGACCTCAGCAGAGGAACTGACAGTGCTTCGCCATGCAGGTGATAACAAGAGCAATTTTTAGATTTTATATTTTAAAAAAGAACAATATAAAGTGCATTCTGCATCCTTGTGGTCATTAAACAGTATAAATAATTCAGGACCAGACTCCTCCCCAGCATTACCTACTTATTAACAGTGAATCTCTGCTTAAAGGAATAGTACACCCAAAACATGATTAGCCTTCATTTTCTACTCACCCCCATGCTGAACAACACTCTGGAGTACTTTTTTGATATCTCAAATGCATCTGGAGATCTGGGAGGCTTCTTGCTGTCTGCTGACATTCAAATAATGGAGGTCCATGGCGCCCGAGGTAGAAAGGTCCATAAAAGTCCACAAAAACGTGTCAATATTCCTCCATACTGCTCGTCCAATGTATTCCAAGTGTCCTGAGTGGGTAGCGTCCATAATTTACTCGAAACAAAGTAATTTAGAATGTTTTTAGAGCATAAAGAGTAGTGTATAGGATTTCCTGAAAGCGCGCACATGCGCGCTCACGACGCTACGGAAGCCGGCAGACCAAACCAGATGAAAGTGCGCATTCAGCGTCTGCTCTGCCAATAATGCAAGCGTAGAAGAAGAAATGTGCTGTTTACCTGTGCAAAGAAAGAAACAACGAAAGAAAAATGTCTGAGGACTTCAGTGTTGAGGAAGAGCATGAGTTCTTTGCCGAGCTGAATGCGCACTTTCATCTGGTTTGGTCTGCCACGGTTGCCGTAGGCTCGTGAACGCGCATGTGCGCGCTTTCAGGAAATCCTATACACTACTGTTTATGCTCTAAAAACATTCTAAATGACTTCGTTTCGAGTAAATTCTGGATGCTACCCACTCAGGACACTTGGAATACATTGGACGAGCAGTATGGAGGAATATTGACACGTTTTTTGTGGACTTTTATGGACCTTTCTGCCTCGGGCGCCATAGACCTCCATTATTTGAATGTCAGCAGAAAGCAAGAAGCCTCCCAGATCTCCAGATGCATTTGAGATATCAAAAAAGTACTCCAGAGTGTTGTTCAGCATGGGGGTGAGTAGAAAATGAAGGCTAATCATGTTTTGGGTGTACTATTCCTTTAAGATAGAGTAGCCCTCTAGTGGACAGCGGTAACATTACAACACAGAGACAATCAAAGAGGACTGGAACAAAAATTCAAACAATCTTTAGTTAAAACGGGACATATTGTAAACTTATAAACATCAATTGACAATTAATAACAAGTTGTTTATTAGCTAACCTCCTAAGTTAAGCTATTTTAATTGGTTTAAACTGATCATGAGTGGAATAAAGTTCAGTAACGTGGTAACTTCTAAAAATATATATTTCTGTGCTGGATATCATCAAAAATGGTGAAAAACTGTATTACTTTTTTCCACATTTAAAATTAAAGTCTTGGGTTTTATGAGGAACCAAAAAAAAAAAAGATAAATAAAACCCAAAGGGGCTTTTGCATCTCCCTCCATCTCCCTTTAATCCAGCTTTTTCTCTCACCTCTCCCCAGGGCGTCGGGATCCACTGAAGTCTGTCGTTCTTGGGGCACCTCCTTAAGACGCACGTCTCCTGGGCTTTTGGCCTGTGGTGCTGTTTGCACATGCTGTCGGGCACCACCACCGCAGTGGCCCCTGGATCAGTGCTGCGGCAGAACACGGTCCGCTTCCTCAATCCACGGCCGCAGGATTTAGAGCACTGGGGAAAGACGAGGAGGAAATAAGTTACACAACAGTGAAGCTAAAGCTGATAATCCTGGTGCTTTTATGAACCATTAAGAAAAAGATTTATTGACCCTTAGTGGACGCTATCAGAGATGCACCATCATTTTGTTACTTTGAATGTCCTGTCTTTGTTTTCTCCTTCAGTTCCCTTCAGATTCATTCACATTAATAAGGTGAAATCCTTGGCATAGACACTGTGGATCAATCTGTTATTCACCCGATGGTGGCAAAGCAAAAAGAAGGTCACTGATATCAGGGGAACAGAATAAGATATACGATAAACCAACAATGAATGTGAACTCATCAGAGAGGGGGAGACGGAGCTGCACTGAACTCCGCATGAACTGCAGAGACGAACAACAGAGTCCAACGGCTCCACAGGGACTGAGGGCCACAGTCAGAGAGGCTTCCTATTTATTTCCTAAATCCCATCTACAGACGCAGACCCATGAATCTATTTACACTCCCCTCTTGCCCTCTCTAACTCATAACTCCAACTGATCTTTTCAGCAAAGCGTTGCCTCCTCTCCGCATGAACTGGGACCAGTGTTGCAAACCACTACAAGCAAGTTGCACAAGCATCCCAAAGACTGATGGCTGAGTGACAGTAAAGTGTTCAAACTGTGCCGGTGATGCCAGCCAATAACGCTCAGATGTTTAACCCAACGATCAGATAGAAATATGACTGTAGAGAGGTTATAGAGCACCAACCTACACTTTACAGGGTAAATTTACAGATGGAAATTTTACGTTTCTAACCAACTGGTGAGGTTTAATATAAGCAACAAGAAAGGGGTCCAGGGTGCTTTGCTCTTACTGTAATTATTTGACCAAACATCATACACACTATGCATTTTCCCATGTATAAATACATTTGACATCGAAAGCAACAGGGACGAATTGTAATAATTACAATGCATTTCAATAAACCAATGATAAAAAATAACAATATTAATTATTTGAGACTGTATTGAAAAATTATCATTGTAAAATAAGCTATTTAACAGTTTAAAAATGGCTTATTCATAATATAATACCAACGCACGCCCTCATAATCTGTATTTGTTCTCCACATGTCCAGCAGAGGGCAGTAGAGCTTTATTTGAGATTGATGGTGATGCTGTTTGAAGAGGAGTGAGTGCAAGTTATATACATCTAATCTGAATGTGTAAGAAAAAAGTATTTCTAAGCAACTTTGTAGAACATGATTATACAGCAAACAACAGAAAGAGAAGGTAGTTCTCAGAAACTTCATAAATTTATAAGCTTCATGAAAAAAAGTGAAAGTCAAGAGCAAAGTCACCGAAACGTGTAGAATTAGATGGATTCGATTTAGTTTTGCGGACTTAAAGTTAATGGCATCACTTTTACGCACAGACAGGCAATTTAATCTCCAGCTCTTCCATGTATAAATCATTAAAACTCCCCTGTGGGTTTTTTCCAGGTTTAATCTTGCTTAAAATCACTAGAAAATGACACAGCTCACCATCCTGATGTGGATCTGACTCCATCTTGGACCAACACATTAAGACGTCATGAGATACTAGAATAAATCCTCACAGAACCAATAATATGTCTGATCAGGTCATGTCCATTTTGTTGACCAAAAACTCAGACATCAGTCTTTGGGATGCTTGTGCAACAACGCTTTTATTGGTTCTGTTATCGGGACAGAACCAATAATGGCGAGCCTTTATTTATTTATTTTTTTTTTTTAAATGTCAATTTTAATGTTTTATTTAGATTACAAAAATAAATCGTAATAAAAATAATCCTATTTATGCTGTTTTAAAAATTAAGACCTACGAAAGACTGATTTAAGACATTTTAATACCAATTAAGGCCTTAGTTTTATTTTGAAGTATTCAATGCCTTTTAAGACTTTTTAAGAAACCCAGGGAACCCTGGGAATAAAAGGTTCTGTTAATATATACATGGATAAAACAACTGTTCTGATCGGGAACATAAAAGATGAGAATAGATGTCATTGAAATACATTGGCTCTGTTCGAAAACCTGGGCTGCATCCTCCAAGGACGCGGTCTACCTAGACTGGATTCTTCGAAGTCCTTGAAAATAAGGAGGCCAGAAGAGTTTTGGCTGTGAATTCGACCAGGTCTACCCTTTGGCGGGTTTTACCGCCGTAAGCTCTGTTGCTTAGCAACCGGGAAAGTTGACACACAAAGCAGGAAAAGAATGAAAACCGAAGTTTCCAAAACTGTTTCTTTATTTCTTTTTTATTGTAAAGTGAACAAAGACTACACTCACAAGAATCCAGAGTGGAATAAAGGTTCCAACCACCGGGAGCAGGAACAAATAAAATCAAATGTAATGATAGAAACCTTAGTCAGTTAAATAACCTGCTGCTGTCATTCTGCACATCTCTGATGTTGCTGCTATTTTCAAATATTACTGTAAAAATGTCCATGGCTGGATATTGGTTATTAATTCTCCAGTTTTATATTGTTAAAACACTCTACAGAATTTTATTGTTTATATTTTAACTCTTCCCTATTATGTTATTTTTATACATTTTTCTAAGGTCCTCATTTGTGTGACTATTTTCAATAATCTTTCTGCTGCTGTAAATTTGCCCATTGTGGGACAATAAAGAGATTTTCTATTCTTTAGAAGGGGTAGAAAGATATAAGTAAATCTAAACAATGTATTTATAAAAAATATATCTGCAAAATCTCTAATATTCAACAACAAAAAATACTTAGTTAAGCATATTGTGCAAAACAGCAATAAAAAGATAAAACTCCTATCAGATTTATAGTCCCCCCCCTGCAGATATATTAGAATCTGTCCTTAAATTCCAGCCAAACTCATTTACACAATAACAGATAAAAACCTTTAGATAAACAAAAAACATTACCGCCACATATGTCACTCAATAACCATTAAAATAACAATTTTCATTAATCTCAGACGGAACTATTCACGGACTGGATTATATTAAACTGAACTTCCAATTTTCACCACTGTTCGGCGCCAAGTAACCTTTCCTCTGATCACGGCTTGCTTGGTCTCGCAATGAATCCTGGGATATTCAAGAATACCGAGGATACATCAGACCCGTCCTTCAAATCGGGCAAAAAGAAGGACGCATTTTAAGGTCGCATAACGAGGACTCTTGGAATCCGACCAGACCTCGGCGCCGCGCTATGACGTAATCGGCCTTCGAATCCGGCCATCTAAGGACACGCCCCAGGTTTTCGAACAGAGCAATTGAGTTGTTTTCTGAAGAGGTCAAATGAATTAAGGGGCAGATATAATAGGAAGTCCAGCTTCCTCCCAGAGTCCAAAAACATGTCTGTTCGGTTAATTGGCTTCTCTTAATTCTCCTTAGGTGTGAGTGTGCATTAATGGTTGTTTTTCCTGTTTGTCTCTGTGTTGCCCTGCGATGAACTGGCGACCTGTCCAGGCTGGAGAGAGGCACCAGCACCCCTCGTGACCCCAGCTGGGACAAAGCATGTCAGACAATGAATGGATGGATATTTTAGGGTTGCTTTTCTCTCTGCTTGTTTAAATCTACATGGTTTTGGGAGTTTGTGCATTGTCGTGTGGGAAACTTTTAATCATAAATAAAATCAATTAACTGAAAATGGACATTTTCATCAAAGCGAATAAAGGAGAAAAGTAAGATTTGTCTTTAGATAGAATGCAGCAAAGCAGGCGATGGCGGTTATTTCCGCAGACTGAATCAGACCCACCTGTGACCATGATCCCGTGCTCCACTCCGGCGGGCAGGCCTGGGTGCGGCACGGCTGGATTTGGGCCGGAGAGATAACGGGACAGAGGGAGTGGGCCGCCACCTCCTCCCTCTGGTAGGTCACCTTCCTCATGCAGCGCAGCGCCCTGGTCTGTTGGCCTCCTCCACATGAGCGGCTGCAGGGCCCCCAGTCCCCCGTGGCCCAGCTGTGGAGGGAAACCGAGGCTTTGCGTCAGTCTGCAGCATAAAACAGCTCTGACAAGAGGAGGCAGAGTGGGAGTCTATGTTATCAGGAAGCCCACCACATAAATGAGCTCCCAATCAGAGAGTTAAACCACAGCTTTAGACCTCAGTCTGCTTTGCTTATTTCAGTCGAGTTTTTAAAACATTTACAGCCTAAATGTTCAGTGATTTTAATCTGGGGGGGGGGATTAAATCAAACCTAAATCTCATAAAACTTCCGATTATTCAGCTGTTAAAAACTTCACACAGGTTAACATTAAAGGTATGATTTATTGTAAAGCAGAAACGCCGACCTGAATTATTATTTCCGCGACCCACCCGCACCATCCATCACAATCTTTTCTTTTCCTGTGAAACTAAACATTAAAGCCATATTGTACACAACCCTGCAGATGAGCTTTCCCAGATTTCTTCAGCCGACCGCGGCGTACAGTATGGCGCAAAAGCTCCTGTTTCCTGACAGTTTCTTTTGTTTCTTATGTTACAGTTAAATGTGTCGTCATCAAATATGAGACAAAGAGAGCCTCAATGAAGAGTTTAAAGGATGGTTTCCTTTGCTGGGAGAAAAAAAAAATGTTTTCCAAGGTAATTACCCTCTAAACCTAATAACTGGTTGTGCCACATTGGCATGAAGGATATGTAATAATTGACAATGACTGTTTTTTATTGCCATGCAGGAATGTTTGCTCACTTTTCTTTAAACAATTGTTTTAAATCAGCCACAGGAGTTTTAATAAGTGTTGCACCGACGCCATTTTTTGGCCCTGATACAGTATCGGCCGATACCGATACCATCTGTTTGAAATTGATGTGTGTGTGTGTGTATATATAGAGCTGCATACTACTTGGATGTAAAATAATTGCCATCATGGCTTCATGTCAAGCTGCTGCCTACCTTTGTGAAGCAGGAAAAAAAATTAAGACAAAGTGAATCCAGTAGAACTTTTATTGCCTACCTGGAATGGGTGACAACAGTTTAAAGGAATAGTACACCCAAAACATGATTAGCCTTCATTTTCTACTCACCCCCATGCTGAACAACACTCTGGAGTACTTTTTTGATATCTCAAATGCATCTGGAGATCTGGGAGGCTTCTTGCTGTCTGCTGACATTCAAATAATGGAGGTCTATGGCGCCCGAGGCAGAAAGGTCCATAAAAGTCCACAAAAAACGTGTCAATATTCCTCCATACTGCTCGTCCAACGTATTCCAAGTGTTCTGAGTGGGTAGCATCCAGAATTTACTTAAAGCGAAGTCATTTAGAATGTTTTTAGAGCATAAACAGTAAGGTATAGGATTTCCTAAAAGCGAGTTCACGACGCTACGGAAACCGCGGCAGACCAAACCAGATGAAAGTGCGCATTCAGCTCGGCAAAGAACTCATGCTCTTCCTCAACACTGAAGTCCTCAGACATTTTTCTTTTGTTGTTTCTTTCTTTGCACAGGTAAACAGCACATTTCTTCTTCTACGCTTGCATTATTGGCAGAGCAGACGCTGAATGCGCACTTTCATCTGGTTTGGTCTGCCGCGGTTTCCGTAGACTCGTGAACTCACAGGCGCGCGCGCTTTTAGGAAATCCTATACACTACTGTTTATGCTCTAAAAACATTCTAAATGACTTCGTTTCGAGTAAATTCTGGACGCTACCCACTCAGGACACTTGGAATACATTGGACGAGCAGTATGGACGAATATTGACACGTTTTTTGTGGACTTTTATGGACCTTTCTGCCTCGGGCGCCATAGACCTCCATTATTTGAATGTCAGCAGACAGCAAGAAGCCTCCCAGATCTCCGGATGCATTTGAGATATCAAAAAAGTACTCCAGGGTGTTGTTCAGCATGGGGGTGAGTAGAAAATGAAGGCTAATCATGTTTTGGGTGTACTATTCCTTTAATATATTTTTGGCTCCCAAAATGGTATCAGTGCCCTATTTGTTGCCTGATACTGGTATCGGTGCAACACTAGTTTTAACTATGAACAGTCTAATGGTGTGAGACAGCCTGAACTTTGACTAGGACCTTTCTCAAGTTTCATTTTCTTTTTTTTTTCCCTCGTTTTTGGCCAGACATTCTCACCCAGGGTGTTCTGCTATCCATGTTATTAAATCAGATGTTCTAAAAAGTGTCAAATGTTTCTCAAAGTGCACGAGAAGGTTCATCTCTGTCTAAAGTTTTTCTTTATTTGCACTGAAGTCTTCAAATCTTAAAATATAGTTTTCAAATGCTTTAGAGACTGACTTTTTAGTCGAATTGATTACTGCAACGGTGTTTTCACAGGTCTGCCTAAAAAGTGGATCAGACAGCTGCAGCTGATCCAGAACGCTGCTGCCCGTATCCTCACTAAGACTAAGAAAGTAGAGCACTTCACCCCAGTTCTAAAGTCCTTCCACTGGCTCCTTGTATCTCAGAGAATAGACTTTAAAATACTTCTGTTAGTCTATAAATCTCTGAATGGCTTAGCACCTAAATACATCCCAGACTTGCTATCAGTGTATCAACCCTCCAGACCACTCAGGTCTTCTGGCTCCAGCCTGCTCTGTATACCTAGAACCAGAACTAAACACGGAGAAGCAGCATTTAGTTCCTATGCTCCACTTATCTGGAACAAACTTCCAGAAAACTGGAAAAAAAAGCCTGAGTTCCTTTAAATCAAGACTAAAAACACATTTGTTTAGGATTGCCTTCGACTGTTCTAGTTAAACAGTTCAACTAAAACATATTTTCTTTAGTCCAAATGTTTTTAATATTCTCTTTTGTTTCTGCATTTTTTATTTTATTTTATTTTTTCCTACTTGCTTTGATTCTGTTTTATCTTCCTGTATTTTAATCATGTAAAGCACTTTGCATTGTCTTTGTACTGAATTGTGCTATACAAATAAACTTGCCTTGCCTTGACAGATAGCAACAATTTTAATAATATAATAATAATAATTGAACATCATTGATCTCACAATGGAGAAATTCACTTCTGCATCTTCACCCCTCCCCTTGGGGAGAAGTGGGCTGCCACTGTGTGGCTCCCGGGGAGCAATCAGGGGTTAAGTATCTAATTTTCTTTAAAATGTCGTTGGCAACTTTCAAAGCATCTTTGGTGTAGATCTGTAACATCAGATCCACCAGGTCTGTAGTATCTGTATCTAAGTATCTCGCTCAGGTACTTCCACCCTTCTGAGAGGGCAAGCCCACTGCTCTATCCACTAGGCCAGGGGTCGGCAACCCAAACTGCTCAAAGAGCCACATTGGACCCAAAAAAAATAAAATTAAATAATCTATCTGGAGCTGCAAAAATGTAAAAGCCTTATAAAAGCCTCGTACAGCAACACAAGCTCTAAGGGCTGGATCTATCAAAGGTTTGCGTGTATAAAAACGTGAGCTATTTCACTGCGCACGCTAAAAAATGTACAAACTGATCTATCAACAGCGTGCTAAAAGGATTTGGTCTTTAAAACGTGCTAAATAGCGCCTCTTATCCATTTAGTACTTTTTCTGCAATGAATATGCAATATGGGGCGTTTACACGCAAAAGTGCGTCTTGTAGGAGGAGAACATGTAAATATATTAATTTAGCACTCGCAAAGTGATTTATCAAACCTGAAAGCAATTTTGCTAACGGTATCTGACTCTATATTTAACACGTTTCAAAAGAAGGTGCAAATGGTCTGTATGCGTAATTGCGCACACATGGCAGCGGTTATTGTCGCAAGAAGGAGACATGGAAATGAAGCAAGGAGACGCAGAGAACGCATTTTTTTCACTCCGTGTGAATATTTTTGGAATGAACGAGGAAACGATCATCAAAACATTTCGTTTATCCAGCATTGCCATTTTGGAGCTGTTGGGGGAACTCCGAATGGATTTGGAGCCAGCCACAAGGAGGACCCACGCAATACCAGATATCACAAAACTCCTTGCAACATTGCACTTTTTTGCATCTGGGATTTCCCAATCTCGTTTTTCAGAAGTGCTGTCCGACGGTCTAAATGCCATGTCGCCCTGACGCCCTAACGGAGAACCCCGACCTCTGCGCCTGTGAAGCAACATGCCAATGCTGCGGGGATGCGTACGCGCAGTAATCTCATCCACAGTCCCATTGTGAGCCATTTGGTATGTGCATTTTTCTACAGGCCAATACAAAACACCTGTTTTTTTTTTGGAGGGGGTGGGGGTATCACTGTAAGATTAAAATTTCTTAATGCACTAGTTTGCACAAACTACAAACTACTTTGCTGCAAACCACAAAACGCGCAAAACCATCATTTAAATAGGGCGTCTCCAACAGTTTTGCACCTGCCACCAGTTACGCAATCACTCATGTTAAATCACCCGCAAACCATGGTTCAGCCCCTCGCACAAAATTCCAGTTTGCGAGCGCAAATTACTGCACGCAGAATTGGATCTTGATAAATCTGGCCCTAAGTGTTTTATCCCACTATAGAAAAGGACTATATGGGCTTAAATATATAATAAGCATTCATGATTAAATGTTTATCCTGAAGCAAATGTCATGCAGTAGCCTGAGGTGACGGAGGAACAGTGAACGCTCCCATCGCGCGCCGCTTCACCACCTTCACTGCGCGGTTTAAGTTTTCTTGCAATGATGAAATTATAGAAACACAATAAAGAAATCTCTCTATGGTGGACCTGTTTCTGTTGGGAGGAGTTTATTGAGTCATGAGGAACCAAGCCACAAAATCCCACATCCTCCATCACCATCGTTCCTTGGTCTGATTAATATTTTTAGGATTTGGGGAAAAAATGGAAGAAAGTTTACATCCCTGCATCAGAGCGCTACCTGTTTGATCTGTGGACGGTTTTCTATGCTTGTAACAAAACTAGCAGCAGTGGTGGAGTTTGGAAATGCAATCCACTTCTTCAATCTATCTTTGCATTCCTCTAATTTATCCTGCAATCGCACTTTTTCTCTCCCTTCAAGCTTGGTGGTGGGCTGCATATTTAGC